CCCCACACACACACGCCCAAACAATCCTACGCATACACAAAAAACACACACTCACACTGACATATTCACACAATTACACATATACAGACATATATCACCCTCACTCACTATCACAGTGCAAAGCTACTTGTTCCATACAACGGAAACATAGTCATACATGATATAAGCAATAAGACAAGAGGTCAACATAACGTATGTCAATATTTATAAATAAACTATTTCAGAACTTGAAGTGGTTTAAATTCTGTTCGCTAAAAGGTAAAAAGAAATAGAATGTAGGCCGTGTGAAGGTGCTTTGGTGTAAACTTTGGTGCCATCCTCGATGCTGGAAGTAGAAAACCTCTAGACTTGTCACGTGACTGCCTCAGTGCAAGAATAAGCAACATGGCTGAACAATCGGATTCAAACCAGAACCCCACGAAATGGAGCCTACTGCAGATGGGAGCAGTTTGTTTCTTCAGCTCTGTTGGCTACTGTGGGTTCACCTCACTACCCTACTACGTGTACACGCACACAGGTAACTTTTGATTTTTTCCCCCACCTGCATACTTAAATCCCTCACCCTTACTCCGCTCCCTCCCCAAACGCCTCCTTAGGTATGCTTGTATTGTATTCAACTTTCTCAATCTCGTCGGGAGGATTTTAAAACTTTACTATTCTCAAAGATGTATTGTTACATCATGTTCTACACACATATGTCAGTCACACTGCACGCCTCTGAATAGGACATGATAATGATTATGTGCCGGACAGCAGACAATAATTCGCCATACTTGTTGAACAAGAAGGCCTACTTGGAATATTACGAGAAACATTGCTTCAATGCTAAAAAAAAATATTTGCATGTTATGTATTTTTGTGTTTCTTTATACTTGTCTCCGACCACATCAGAAATCTCTGCAACGCTTTTGCGCTTCCAGACTGCGTTTTGATTTGACTAGCATGGGTATTAATGTAAGGGTTAGTAAGACAGAAAGGATAAACAGTTGTGCTGTCGATAGAACACCTAAATGACTAAGATCCTGCAGCTGACTGCCCAGTTAGGATCGTGGCTAACAATTATGCTGTTTGGGATCAAGACGAAAAGACACCAATCACTGAGATGTCAACACGCTTAGAAAACGTTAAAAAACAACAACAACA